TTCCTGCAGGCCCAGCAGGGGGACAGACACGACGCACACCACTCCCCTAACTCCCAGCGTCACACAAGGGCTCCAGACCTTCCAGTAAAACCACTGCACCAGTTTTCACTTTTTTTTCTCCCCAGCTCCTGCAGGCAAAGGTGCAGGATGTCCACGCTCTGCTATTACGCACTTCACAAGGCAGGAGCCTGGAATTACTTATTCTCGCAGTTCTTTTGCTATTATGCCTTGCCCTCATTTTGAGTGAGCGCTGATGACTCCCCCTGCAATATACAGCCTTGCTGAGCCAGCAGCTGTGCAAAAAGCACCCCCTGGAAGTGTGAAGGGATGGACCATCCTTCCGCTTTTCAAAAGGAGAAGTCGAGAGCCAGCTGAAAACCCAGGGAAAGCTGCATTAACTCATTTCCCCATTCTAAACATTTCTAGCAGCAATCGTGAAACTGGCTGTTGCCCGGCTAACAACCTATTTATGGCGATACGTTAGCTGAACACATACATCTTTTACAGTAATCCGCAGTGAAATACATCAGCAGTTGGAGTTTGGGACAGCACCCATGCAGCTGAGAGTTAACAGGTAAAGAAAGTCAACGGGCTTGTTCCCATGGGAAGCGGGAAGGCAGCACTGCCATCGGCTACCACCAGTTCCCATATAGAGAGCTGGAAGGTACAACCAGGACGGGCATTTTCAAAATGACTCAGTCTGGAGCTAACCCTGCTCCTACAGACATCGACAACGCAAGGTCTGGCTATTTCCATGGGAGCACCTAGATCCGCACAGAGCGGTTGTGAAAGCGTGAGCATGTGTCCTGCAGCTCTCCCCGGCCTCCAGAATGGCAGACCGTGTGCTGCTCTGAATTCATCTGCTGAACTTCAGGTTGCTCCCAGGGAACAGACACTGCTCTCAATTGAATTTAAGGTTTCAAAATTTTCCTTGACAATATGACGAGCTCACCCACCCGGAGCTGGGTTTCTGTCTGAAAGGCACGACTGGAACTTCCTTCCTTTGCTGGAACGAGTAACTGTGCTACAATATGTTTTACCTGCCTACAGCAGTACTGCTAGAACTTGATTAGTTGTAAAATACGTGAATGTATACTGCATAGACAGTCGTGAAAACCATCAGAAAGGTCTTTATTCTTATTCAGGGAATAAGGTTTACCATTTGTGCATAATGCAGTCATCCCAAACTCATGCCAATAAAAGAGAAACCTTTACAATAATCTGCATCTTCTCTATAGTCATATAGCCAGAACTTTACATCTCTTACGGTTTGTGAAACGTAAAAAAAAAAGCGTACATGAGTCTCTCGCGTGATGTGGGGTGCAACCTGGACTATAGGGGACTTAACTTTTGACATCGCAGGACTTACAGTAGCTCGTAGCATACGTTTCCATAGCTAGTTCTCTATGAACAGAAGGGCATCCCCCACAGCCTGCAGGAGAGAAGCTCTCAAACAGGCCCATGCGAGTTTTGCCTACATTAGGACTGCAGGACCAGCCCCATCATATATAAACCACGTGATATTCTGATAAAACATGCACTTACTACTTTGAATTAATGGAACAAACTATAACAGGGTTTAATTTAAATCGGTTCCTAATCCACACACTGAAATACTGACCATTTCACAGTCCATCTCATTAATGCGTACTAACGGTCAAGTGAACCAGTTTATCTTTTATTTATGAAAAACATATGAATTGTGATAGATATAATAGGAAAAATTAGTTCAAATATACAGATACTATTGTCCAATCAGCCATTAAAGGAGTAAGAACCAAAAATTAATGATTTTTTTTTTTTCCCCAAAGTAAAACTAACTGAGTTACTTGCAGGAATTTTTCTTCATTACAAAAGCTGAGATGCATTCAGGTACAGTGAAATTCAGCTGTACTGGGAAATGGAGACAGCCTCTGTTAAGTCCCTGTTGATTTTAATCCCTGTCATCTCCCCAGCATTGCTGCATCAAATTCAGTCCTCATAATATATTCCAAAGTAAAACCAGCCATTCCAAATCTACAGTCATTCTTTGCTTTAAGTCAATTCACAGAACTGCTGAAAAAGTAGACATTTCTATCTAAAAGTACAAAAAGGGTTTGTATAGAAGGTACTTCTCTTATACAGTTATATTACACAGCTCAGGACAGTCCCGGCAGGCTCTTCTCAGAAGTGGATGCTTCCAACTAGACAAGAAAAATTACAAGAGTGAGTTAGTGTCCCCGCAGCTCTGTATCTTGTTACGAGTAGCTTGCGTTGCCTTTTAAAGTTCTTTAGGCCTAGATTCAGAAAGCATGCAGAAGCTGATTATTGCTCGCAATAAATACGAGATCAAATGTGTGCTCAAGTGGTCTCTCTAAGAATTTAGAGCAAATATTTGCTTTAGTATAAATTCAGTGGATGGCCAAAAGCATCCAAAAATGCAAACCATGGCAGCACCAAATTGTGCAGCCATTGCTCAGACAAAATTTCCATGGCCTTTAATGGACAAGCGAGATGGCTTTTTATACCTCCACTGGGTGAAGGGCTTCCCATGACAAATCAGAAGTTTTTCTGTAGTGTATTTTCTCTTGCCATGTTCAATTTTGTGACAAATATTTCCAGAACAGACTCCACCAGTTTATTAGGAAGGCTACTGCTGTACTTGCAATTCTCAGGGCACAGTTAGTTGGCATGCCAGTACATCAGTCTCTGCCAGTGTCTATCAAATCATTCCTGGATTTGTCCCTTCAGTCCCTCATCCCGATGCCGTCGGCAGCCCTCCACATGCCAGGCTGTGTTTAGGCTGCACGGACGGAGGGCCATGGCCAAGACTGTCCTCGTCTCCAAAAAGCCGGATGGTGCCAGGAGGGAAACCCGCAGGCTCCAGGCTGCCCCAGCTGCTGCTTCAGGCGGGGGGCAAACTGCAGTATTGCTCTCAGCCACTCGGGCCGGCAGAAATGAAGAACCAGAGCTTGGTTTTGCTGATTGCCTGTCTGTACCCTCAGAACTGCAATAGTATGCAGACGTTTCCTTCTCTGGGATGAATAAAATGTCTTTTTCTTACTAACGCTAGAAAGGTTACAGCTCGAGTATACTGAACAAATGCATCCAACTTTATATCAATCAAATCAAATTACTGAAGTATCAAACACTACACAATGAGGAAAATATTTGGTTTGGAGCATTATCAAAACTGAAATGGGAAGAAGTACTACAGAGCTGTGATAGCTTAAAATTGCCATTTTCTCTGAATGAAGCATAGAGACTCGCAACCCTGCGGGTCAGCCTGTTACATCTGCTGGTGTGATAAAATTGCTAGCACTCTTCTCCACTGCCACCAAAACGTCATTTTTAGGAATGAGTGAAGTTGGAAATAGTGTAAGGGAAAGATTTTCAGACATTTTTGCATTGTAAGTTAAACTAAGCTTTTCATAAAAGTTAACAGAAAAGAAAAAAAACCTTGGTTTGTCATCACAGCTTTACCAAGTGTCCCAAGCTTAGGCAATATTGCAATCATAGCGAAGAGCTTTCCTGTTCAATTAGAGTTTGGAACTATATAGGCTTTACCGAGAGTAGTGATGCTCGTTCACACAACCACGTCAGAGCTCTTCATAAACACCAATTCCCTAAGCTTTCATTTGCTCTGCCTCTGAGGTGTGTAATTACCATTGCCCATTTTTATTTATAGGCCACATTTTCCTAGGACTGCCTCACATCTGAACACAGCGTTTGGGTAAGGTAAGGAAAACATCCTACATTTTACAGGCAAGAACTGAGACAAATGAAATAATTCACAAGTGAAGGACTGATACCTTCTGGCATTCAGTCCTGTATCTCAGCCCTCTTCTCCTCACCCAAAAATATAAAAATGTTATTCCTTGACAGGCATTGATGGCAAGAAACACTAAATTCTTTTACCTAGTATTGATGTGGTCTACCACGTTGGGTCTGGTTCTTGCTTTATTTGAGAACTTTCTTCTGTTTCTGTAATATCTGTTGAAAAAGCAGTAAGGAATGAAGAAAAAAGGAAAATTCTCAACCACTTTTGTTGCTATTGTTGTACTTAAGTAAAAAATTATGAAAATATGAAAAACATTCATTTATCATTTTTAACTACTAATGATAAATAAAAATGTATTCGCAACAACCTGATTCTGTGCAAACTACCACATTCACTTTGATGTAAAGCAGCCTGGGATCTTAGAGAACTCCACTATTTTAAAAAACAGAAATAAAAATTGGTATTAGAAGTATATGAAACTTTAAAATGGGCAGGAAAGGAACTTAACCCAAAAAGGAAACAACATACAACCAGTGAAAAAATGTCAACTATACCACTGCTTCGGTCTGCGCCCTGCTCTCCAGACCTTCACCCTCCTCTTTGTCAATCCCCAGCACCGCCCCTTCCTCCGTCCCCCTCACCAGATCTGCAAGGCGGGGCCAAGCTTTTCAAACACTCCCAGGTAAATCTGTAGCCATGACTTCAAATACTTCAGGCGTGACCACTGCGTCCCATTTTTTAAGACACTGTCTTCCCAAGCCAGCTAACAGCATCCCAACCCCCTTGTGCTCAAGTCGTGCCTTCTGGGTTAGTATTAACTGAACATTCCTTGCACAAACTCTTGCTTTCACAGCACTGACTATTTTTCAAGGTTTTTTTCCATCTGTAGGACTGCTTCTCTTCTCAACCTGATACTAGCTTTTCCCTTACTATATTTCGATTTGTCCAAAACAAATTTTGACCCAGCTAATTTTTCTTCTTCAATGCACAGTATCACATAGAAAGGCATTATGATACGCTTAAAAAAAGAGATAAAAAAATTTTATCTTGTTGGCTAAAGCATTCATCATCTTTTGATACGATTTTTTTTTTCATTTCCAGGAAAATTCATTACAAAACCTTTGCTTTGTCTTGTTCAGAGGGATGCTTGGAGGTAAATCAAAGAAATGTCATGCCCATATAGCACTGCCTTTATGACCCGGAGCCTGATTTTGTTCTTTTTATAAACAGAGAATATCATGTTGGAAGGAAATTGGTTTTTCACTGAAGTTGTTTGGAAGGTTTGGGGCTAGGGTAATTCATCACTGCAAGGCCAAGCCATTTCACCGCAAGATCATTTTATACCTTCCAGCCTAGTTCTGAAGCAGTTTTGAGTTCTTTAGCAATTGCATGCCTTTTCTCAAGATCATTCCTCTGGTAACGGGGTCTGAATCCAGTTTTAGATGACAAATTCAAACCCACATTTGTCTATTTCTGCGAAACACTCACTTTGCAGGCCCACAGCTAGATTTCCTCTGTATGAGGGTAATCAGGAACAGCTCATGCCCTCCGTCATCTAACAGCTGCAGTGATCCCACATAGTTTTGATATCAAAGACGACTGATGCTCCAGCTTTCAATAACTGTGAGCTTAAAATCTGCAGCTCAGCAATTCTGAGACCCTTAACACTTGCTTTCTTTTCGTCTGGAACGTTGCAACAGGACTGATCTATATTCCGAGAAAGACCTGCTCATAACACTGAGTGAACCTGCAGCTGAGTTTGTAATGTGGTTCTGGTTGAGCACGTTGGCCGTCTCTGAGTTCAGTGACATGCCATGGCAACTGAAGGAATGGAGACTGGAAAGGGCATTTCCGTGGAAAAGGATACAGAAGAATGGGAGTGCTGAGATTTGCTGCTACCTCTTTTGGGAGAATCTAAGCAGGATTAGGGAATGAACTCGAGAGTTTTAAGATGACAAGTGCTAATGCCCAGCAGCTTCCATCCCAGTGCGGTTGGCTACACTGCTGTCAAGCTGCTACAGACCCATCAGAGAGCTGCTCTCGGGACTACCTGGCGGGAAGGCAGCACCCCATCAAACCATCACAGCCCCTCAGATCCCCCATGCCAGCCGCACCAGCCTCAGCCATCCAGGGCCATGCTGACAAGCTGGGGCAGAGGCAGCGTTTATGGGATCAGAGCACGCAGCAGACACCAGCATCCCGATTCTCAGGTCAGTTCAGTACTCCTAATGCTCCAAGACCACATGCAAAAGCACTAGGAGGGTAGAAAAGCTACAGCCTCCTTGGTCTCACATGTATCAACATCTGAAAAAGATACAACTCAAGTACATTCTTGGACAACAGGGAAGTTGGATGTTTTTCAGAGCTTAAGTTCTAGAAGAACAACAATACTCCCCCTCCCCAAAACAGTATTATTCAGGCCAACATGGCATTCAAATTTCCTGATGGTAATCATTCACTTGCACAAATTGTGGAAACTACAGCGCTGCATAACTAGATGCATCACTCAGGATATAAGCAATCACTCAAAGCCTATATATAGTCATGACTCACCAACCAGGAACAATTCATAAAACTCCTCTGGAAAATTATTTGAATAATAACTTTTGCTGCAGAGCATTTTTCACATGATGCAGCATGATACTAAAACAGATGAAAAAATGTCCTGGGAACCGATAAAAGCCCTTTTTTTGTTTTGACTGACCTGTCTCCTTTAAAAAAAGATGCAACTTCATTCAAAATTACTTAAAAATATTTGTTGATAATAACTGAAGACACTTACCTCCGACAGATACTTCTATTTGGCTGGGTTCAGCTGGCTCTTAAATGAAAAAAAATATAGTCAAATGAATATGAATATAGTTTCAACAATGTGAATCAGGTAAGTATCTTAGAAAAATTAGGGAAATTATGTTTTCCCTGAAAAAAGTGCCTCATTTTTTCTCTCATGATCAAATGTCTTTGTCTGAGATAAATGTGTGTAACTTTCTAGAGAGTCTGCAGCAAAATGTAAAAAAAAAAATACCCAAACACGTATTACATTACACTGCCTAACACTTTCTCTTCCAAGTATGGTTCACTGCAGCAGCCTTACCACCAAGTCCTAGCAGAACATAACATGCCCTTGCACAGAATATATAAAGTCTGGAACAGCTTTACTTGAACCACTTAAATATAAAAACTATTTAAAAAAAAGAAGTCATCACTTCTGGCTACTATTTTCTTCAGTGGCGAGTATGTGTATTTGGGGGGAGAGCGGGAAGGTGCAGAGTCGAGGGCAAACAGCATGTTTCAATTCCATCATGATTTTTCTGTTATCTGTGTTGATGGATTATAGATGGACAGTGTTGGGAAAGCCTTTTAACACTGCAGGTGAATTAAGGACAGACTACAGCAAGTTCACTGACCGTCAGCAGGTGTTTTCCTCCCTTCCACCACCTCCAAATGTAAACAGACGTGCCAGTACTTTCCTTTATAATTCCATAAAAGCGTCCCTTATTCTTAAAATGTTTATCAAACCTTCTCCTAGTTTCTTTGAGTAACAGTTTATTCAGTCAATTGCAAAAGTCTTTCTTGCACTACACTAACTTGGGCTACATGTTTTTAAAAGGTCTGCAAACATTTAGAAACTATATTGACTGAAAAGGAAGTTTGCTCAACTCCACTTACTTTAGGTATTCATAGCGTAAACCTAAGTTCTCCATTCAGGCTAAGATGTGTGTGCAGTCTAGACCCAGTCTAGCAGCGGTTACAGAGCTGTGCAATAGGCAGAAATTCCATCAAGACCCCATTTTAGGTTCTTACATGTTACATAGGCAGACTTCACTTGGCTGAACATCTATCTGGTGCAGACACACACATGCTTTGAGTTAAGCAGACATCAATAAATGGATACTGAATTGGCTTTATATATTGCCCCTACTAATCCTTTTCAGCTCACTCATCATCTGCAAAAATCAAATCAAGGAACACGCCAATGACACAGCTTGAAGGAAGCAATGGCTCTTTCTATTAATTTATTAATATTTAGTAGCTATAAAAGTCACCATCACACACCATCTGTCAAAATAAAATGGCTCATCACGAGCAGTGCATACCCAGGACATGACTACTAATACCATCTGTCAATAAGATCGAGAACTCCATATCCCACCCCTTCTGCAAGGACATGCATCATGCTCTGCATCACCTGGTAGTACTGGTGCTGCTGCTGGTGCTGTTGGTGGTGCTTCTGCTTCAGCTTTTTCCATCAGCTCTAAGATTAGACATGATCATTGTTTAACTTCACAATGAAAATGGTCCCACATGTAACACAAGGGCAATCTTACCTCTTGAATCTGCAAATCCTGAAACTTGTTGCATGAACAGGTTACTAACAGTTGTGATTGAGCTGCAGTTCAATAATTTTTATTACAGAAAAAAACATTCCCTATCCTTCCTGCAAGCACCAAAACTTTCCTTGCAAGTTCTCACATGTTCTTCAGAACAAGAATAGAACATCATACCTACATAAGCAGTATGCTCAAAGCCTTTCAGTCATTCACCTCTGTGTCTATCAATGTCAGATAATTTTGATCATCATTAATGGATATGGATATTGCATAAAAATCACTTCTCAATGACCAATCTGCTCCTCCAGTGATGGAAGATGACTGGGTATCTATGCTGGTTTTATTCAGTGTATTAGCTAGCCTCAGTCCCAACACACGCTGAAAGTTATGCTGGATACACAACAGTTTAATAGATTCTTTCATTTCTAATTCAATTCTCTGGAAATGCTACTACACGCTTCTCTACCTGGAAGGTTCCCTCTTACAAAGGGATCTCTTTCCCATCTAAGGTGTGCCTAGGACTGCTGAGCAGGTCAACTAAAATACCTTCCTGACAACACTTTGTATGTGCAGTCCATAGACCTCAGCATCTTAGCTGGAATACAGAATCATAGAATCATTCAGGTTGGGAAAGACCTTTAAGATCATCAAGTATACTGGTGGCTGATGGACTGGGTTGCTAAGGCTCAGGCTGGGCAAGACCAAACAAACAACAGCAGGTTATTTGGCCTCTCAATTTCTAATCTGACATCGGCTCAGAAAGAACATGACACATGCTACACTATAATTACAGTGTTCTGCAGTTTGTTTTTTCTAAGTAAGATCTAAAAAACCAGGCTGCAATATTTTAGGCAACTGAAAATACTAGGACTTTTTTTTTCCCCCCCTCCAAGTTATTTCATTAACATGGCCAAATTGGCCATGGCATTTCAGGTAAATACACTCTGCCTCTAAACTGTTACAGTTTTAGCAGAATGCAGAATTTTTCATTGGAACATGGTTGTGCAGCTACTGGAAAGTTCTTGCTTATTAACTGCTACTGCGACGGATCCGAACCTAAAATGTAGACACTCCCATGTAAGTCTGTTGCTCAGTCAGGATCCTAAATCTCTTTGGGACTCTGCAGCTGAAAAATACAAAATCAGTATCTTGCATTTTCATATCAAAGTTAATGCTATTCTTATACTGTTCTGTAAATTTATCACACTGCTCTCAAGTTAATTGCACATGCATGTTTAGTCAGGAAATCTTAATGAGACAGACACAGACAAGAGAATTATACATAGAACTTAACCACTGTGGAGCCTCTGCCACTAAGCCAAAATGTAGAAAATGGATTTAATAAGTTACAAAAATACATTTGCCATCAGTGTTTCATAAATACTTACGATTGTTAATCACAAGTCCTGGAAATGGTCTGTTAAAAAAAAAAAAAAAAAAAAAAAAAAATTACTGATTCTAAAGTATATTGTATGGGGTCTCCCTCCCAAGGCAGCCTCACTTAATGGCTTGTAACAGAGGTCATGCTAAAAAATGAACAGAAAATCAAACAAAACAGAAGGAACATCAGCTCTTGGACACCATGGTTTGTTCACTAGCATTTTGAAAAGTAACACACTTCTTCAGAGCTCACTTAAATAAAATGTATCAAGCAAGAGTCCTTTCCGTTAGAACTCTTCATGATTAAGGGTTGGGAATTCAGACCTCTCAGTAAAATATATTTAAGAAATTTATCTCTGTCTAAAGATAAACTGAAGTTTTCAGACTCCTGTGAAGTAGACTATGATTTGAGAAAGTACATAAACGGATACATTTTTATTTTCAATTCCTGAACTCCTCCTGAGTATGATTCCAAAGTTTCATCTATCCTGCTTCACGCATACAAAAATACTTTGTACATATGTGTGTGTATATGTCTATGCAAACATACACATACAAATAAAATTTACTTATATTGTAATTGGACAATATTGTATTTTTATATATCGTAGATAAACTAATTTTGTAGGAAAAATCCCATTTATCAAAGAGCTGACCTTAACTCAGGAATTTTTACATCACTGAAATACTTTAAAATATTAATACTACTATGAATGTACTATTTACTGTCAAGAGCCAATAAGCTCTGGACCTGTCTCAAAGCTTGACCTGATAAAGAGGAGAGCAAGGCCCGCAACACTTTAGGACTCTGTTATACAATGTGAATAGATTTCAACTCAAAAGACAGCTTGCTGGAATATGCAGTATTAATAATATGCTCTTTGTCATCCTAAATTGGACACATTCTCAGAGTTACAGTCTTCATTCATGCTATGAGCATCTGGGCTTCATTTGACTTGACATATTGTTTATAAAAGAGCCAACATCTTCCACTATTTAAAGATGCACTGCAACTTCTATTCTTTCAAATCTCGATGTATTCAAGCTACAGGGCTGTCCTCACAACATCTGTACAGTCTAATCAATGGCAACTACCTACCGAATGACAGTGAATTTGATAAACTCTGCTGATTCCAAAATCTTCCGCATCGAGCTGATTTCCAGATAACTGGGAGCTTTAAATGCCACGCCAGGAGGCATCCCGTCCACCACCACACAGCCAGGGTTGATAGTGATTTTTCTGTATGGGACTTTCACAGGAAAATTCATACCAATGGCTTCACCTAAGCAAGAGAGGTCACGCTTATTTTCAAGTCTACATATTTATGGTTACACATTGAAGAAAAAGTTCTTGGATTATTAAGAAACTAAATGCAAACTGAAGCTTTCTATCAGATCTGAAGCTATGAAATCAGAAAAACTTTGAAAATCAGATCTGAAACTATGAAAATCCATTACAGCATTAGATGTTTTGGATTACACTCATGAATGTTACTACAAGATCATTAATTATGTCAACTCTCATAGCTCACCATACAAAGGACCTGGATTTTGTTTTACTAAAAAATAAATAGAACAGGATATCTAAGGAAATAGCTACATGAAGGAAGACAAAGCATTTCCTGCAATGCACACAAAAAGCAATTCAACACAGCAGTAGTGAAGGAATTTTGGATAAAGAAACTCAGGTCATTATTGCTGTACAGTGCAAATACAAAGTAGAAATAAAGAAAACCATACGCAGCAAAAAGGTTAAGTTGCATTTTAAAAACTACTCTAGTCTCAAGTATTAAGAGGTCTCTGAAGCCCTAAGAAGAATCGTGGTTTGCCAGCAAAATAAGTATTTCATCTATGTTTACACCAAAATAAACAGGAAGTGGGGGGATGGACACATAAAGCAATCTATACGCTTAGGATTTTTTGTTTAAAATGCCAAACAACCTACACCACTTATAAAAGATTCTTTCTGAAGTCAAAGCACAACATTCATGTACAATTCTCAAATTTGTTCATTTCAATCATCATATGTATCATCCCCTGGGATGATTCAGTAACTTCAATATGACCAACATTAATTGCATTCACACCTATGTGAAAATGGGGAGTAAGAAGCAATTACCAAATTTCCGGCTAAAAAGATCATTTACTTGCTCTCTCAATTGTCTGGCCTTCTCTACTTTTGACAGTCGCTCACTTTCATCATCTGGAAGAAATTGTTAGAATAGCATCAGCGTTAAGCAGATCTTTTTTCCCCCCCTGAAGCTTGTTTATCATTGCACGTTTACTCAAAGCTATACTCAAAGGTATATCTGAATGCTTTGAAACAGGCCCTGTCTTTGTTCCTAGTTTTTACTGCTAAAACAGAATTGTAGAAATACACAAAAATAGATGGTTGTTAAGAAATCTGTGAGAAGCTTCAAAGTATTTACATAACCAACATTAGATTCACTATCTAGAGATGATTTTGTAAATTTAATCTAAAACCCACAAATTATATTTTATTTTCTTATAGTACATGTGGTGGGGAAAGGTAAAAGCAAAGTGACATTCAATAGATGGCCATAGCATGCAACGTTCCTCTCAGTTTCTAATGAGTGTAATAGACACCTGAGAAAGTAGTGATCAGTGTTAAGACAAAGCAGTTCAGTCCACATGGTTATTGAATTCACTCCAAGTCCTGATCTCCTGAAGTTGCCAAGAAAATTGCAAATTTGTATTTAACTTATTGCATGTCACTGAGCAGATATTCATGAGTATTAGAAAATAACATCTCAGCAAAACCAGAATGCTAAATTACACTCTTTGTTGACTGTACTTATATTTCAGTGAACCAGCTTGCCTGTAAGAAAAAACTTTGAGAATATAAGCACAAAAAGTATGATGTGAAACCTGACAGTATACACACCTGGTATAGTTACTTGAATGATGTTAAGATCTTCAACACCTGCAGCTGTGTTCACCACTGCATTTGTTGTGGTGCTTGCTGTATTGGCTATATTAGATGAATTATTTTTTCCTACAAGTAAGAGGATTAATTTAAAAAACAGTTGTAAAGAATCTTGATTGTCATATATGTAAGAAAATAGTGCAAAGTAAATGGTACTTGCAAAATTTTCAAAGCAAACCCAGTCCCATTTTCAAAATGGGTTCAGTTTCCAATGAGACATGCGTATTGAAGGTACACACTACTCTGTCTTTGCAACCCAAGGGGAGAAAGGCCAGATTAAAGACAATGTTAATCTTTACCTACTTCATTTTCTACAAAAACTATTAAGAAAAGGAAAAAAAAAAAAAAAAGAGTACGTGGAAGATGTATTTTGGTATTTTTATTAACAGAACAATCATACTACTTGCAGTTAATTCAGTAACACCTACTGATCCACGTGTTCACTGCGTGCATTCACAGAAGAAATCCCTTACAGGTAGATGTGTAAGCCACACCGTCCAGTGGCACAAACCAGCATAGTTCAACTAACTCAGTGAAGTTTTGCCAACCCATAGTAACAGATAATAATATGACTCAAAACATTTAATCCATGACCTGCCTGACACAGTTTTCTACTGGCTATCTGCACTCCAACCTGTGAAGCACTTCTGATGTAGATGCCCTATGTATCAGTAGCAAATCATTTATCTCTAGACCTGAATTACTTCTGCAAATCACACATTGCTTCTTACATTTTGATAAACAATAGTAGAGAATATATTAGAGGCACGATTATTGTGAATAACTTAAAAAAACATTAATACTCCCTTGCTAAAGGCATATTAAAACTGTAACTGGAAAGTGCTTTTCCCATCATAAAACCAAGCAAACAAACCAGAAGGTAGAATGAATCTTTCAGGAACTCATTAACAACATGCAGCACTCCTGATTTGTATTTAACCTGTGAAAAAGACTGTGATCTAGAACATTAAGTATTTGCAAAAACTCACTTTGGGGGCTTCTAGCAGAACTTTCCTTAACAGCCGCCTCAAACATCTCAGGCCTGAAAACAGATTGAACATTTCATGTACAGTAATAAAATTACATTCACCAACATTAAAGAAAATGAGATTTTTTAATATTAATTTATTAAATACAGGAACTAAGTGATATTGTAAATGCTGTATTACTCTCAGCAAAAGAGACAGCCAAGAATGCAACAGTTGTGGGGCTCCGCAACTTCCCTTGCCACTGTCTCTACACTGGCACATGGGTATCTAAACCTATTCTAGACAAGAAAAATAAATTCTTCCAACCCCCAGTACATGGCTCAGCTCTTAGGACACTGCTGTCAAGTCTTATGAGTAACCCATAAGCGCTCCACGCAGTAGGAACTAAACCAGTCATATGATAACTGAAATGGGCTAAGAAATCTGGACTTGCTCTTCCTCCAAAACCAGGTTGTGAATCTTTCAGAATAAAAAGAGATTACTATATCTTGCTCCAACCTCTACAAGAGCTTTCTGACCATTTCCTCATTTACTAAAAATATTCCAGTGTGTATTTTTTAGAGTAATTTAGCAACTCAGCGACACAATTTAATTTTTTGGTCTACATTACAATTGTCATAGAATGGATTATTCAAGACATACTGGAGTCTTACTTTTTAATAATGAATTTTATCTTTGATTTGTTTCTCAGGATCTTCTCTAGTCTTGGTATGCCAAAAGTAGAAGGTCGGCGGAATGGCACCCCCTCGGGCAGGCCTTCCACATAGAAAACCTCCGGGAAGGATTCAAACAACGCAAATGGCACCTTCACTGGTTCAGTCAGCCCCAGTGCTTCACCTGAAATGCAACAGAGCAAATAAGCTACCAGCTAGATGACTGATGTGACTACAAAAAGGAAAAGCTCAGGTATAAATGGCATATAATCGTTGGCACATACGTACTAGATTAGGTGGAACCAGCAGGCTTTGCTTTTTTTTGGTGACAGCTATGAGTAGGCAGGAAGAAAATAAACAGTCTCAAACATAACTCATTCTGTTGCAGTAAATCTGACCATAACTTGCAGTTGAAAATATTAGCATTTATAGACAGCTCATACCACTGGCTTGGTCTGCATACAAGACTGTCCTGTTTGTACTCCACTTTGTTACAGGCAGTGTATTCTGTCTGTATCTGCTAGAGAATAGCACCAAGGGCAGGCGACGTTAGTGTTTTTGTTCCAAAAACTGCACTCAGAAGAGTAATGAGAACTCATTGCTTCTAAAAGTCATTAGCTTCCAAACAGCCTGCACTGTGCTGGGATATGATGGAGCATGACTCTCCTCCCCCAGTACCATCTGTAACTTATCGAGTCACGCAGAGGCTGAAGTCATACAAAGTCCCATTCATAAGTGGAATGAAGAAAACTTAAAAGATGTGTCAGGGTATGGAGTCACTATGTCTCTGAGTCATTAAAGAAGTAGTAATGCAACCACAACTTCTCCATTTCCAAAACCAAGTAAAGTAACTAGTCGAAACGAGACACAGGATAGCAAGCAACCTACACAAGAATGAACTCCAATGAGAGATTGCCTAAAGTACACAAGGATTGCAGGACTTTTGGAATAAACATGTGAACGTATCTATCACAGGACTAACTGTATGTTCATAAGAAAGACATCTCAGTAAAAAAGAATCAATAAACTTACCACATTTTTCATTAAAAAGATTTTCTACTTTCTGCTTTAAGTCAGTAATTTTGGCATTCCATGCCTCTGCCAGGAAGAAACCAGAAAAATTAAATCAACACACAAGGAATGAATATGTCCTTGAAGAATATTTTAATACTCATTTAATAAATTATTATGCTTGATAACCAATTTACTATGACAGTAAAACGCGCGCAATGGCTATCATTCTGCAAACAGCACTGACACATTCTGCTGCAGTCTAAACCTATAGCCACATGAATCCTCCTTTTCCTAAAGTTTTGAAAAATACTGCTAACTAAAGCAAGGATGATTAAAATTGAAACTATCCAAGAGTGATCCAAATTTACAATATGAGGCAACAGAAAAATTACTCATCTGAACCAGCACCCAAAGTAACGGCAGAAAGTTCTTCCTATGTTCAGCGCCATAGCCCTGAAGCACATGCCTCTCTCTTGAGAACTACAAGCTCTATCATGATTTCAACTTTGGTGGGTGAGATTAAACGTCCATCTAGCTTGGCATTTTGTTTCTGACAGTGACCAGCAGCAACTCCTAAACCTGTTTACTTGTGGCTGCAGTAAGTGGTCTGTAGCTGGTCTACAAAACTAAAAAATTAGTTGAAAGTTTAAAAAAGTTGCAGATTAAAGCTTAAAAACCCCCTAGGCCTAACAATAACAAGCAAGTCCAAGAAAATTGTACACAACCGTGAATATGGATACTGCCCATGCCAAAAGGAGCAGTCATACCAAATCAGTATCTTACACGGCTCAGTAGGAATAAAGAATTCCTTTGTTTCATGGTTTATGACCACATGGCTAAAACAAAAGCAAATAACAACAAACTCCTATGTAAATATAAACAAATAACCTCAGAATGTAATGATGCTGAAAAAAAGGTTTCATGAGACGTGGAAACTGCTTACTCTGAATACAGTCATCTCCCATGACTACAAGGAATTAATCTGGGTTGCAAAATTGACCCTGCTTTCAATGCAAAGATTTCTGTGCCAGAGCACTGCACAGACAGGCCTGGTCCTCCATGGTTAAAAAGCTCCGTCCCAATGCTCACGAACACAACTACGTGGCTTCCAGTTCTGTCTGGCTTTTTCTTTACTGATTTTCCAGAACTAGAGAGGTCTGTAATGGTGATCTTGCAAAATCACCTCTGATAGATCATGGCTTACTAACGCTAGTTCAAATCCTTCCCAGTTCCTGCATACTGCTTGGGTATCTCTGAAGAGTGATGCTCAATATTTAAAGTTTGCAGAGCACTCATTAAGCTTACGCACAATATCAGGTCTCAGCTGGGTTTATGCAGCTGTGAAATAACAGAGCAGCAAAAGTCTAAAGGGACTGATTCTCAACCCAAGCTAGTAAGATCCAATGATCCCATGCTGCATTTCTACAGCACCCTCCACACATCATCCAGGATTTCTCCAATGCAGATTATTCTACATGATGAAGAACTGAATGCACATGAAAACAAGAACTTGTCATTCACTAAATGTACAAAAAAACATGAATTCAAAATATATCCTATATGTAATCACAAGAATTTTCAATACCAACATTAATGGAATGCATGTGTGCTAATTCCCACAACATTTACCAAAAGAAAACTCTCTTCCTCGTGGCTTGAAACTCATATTGGACCCATTGGTTTGAGAATTAGTTCGAACATCTGTTGTTTGTGGTTTATTAGGACCTGTAAAAAGACATTACATATATACAGGCAGAAAGCAGAAGCATCATACAAAAAGAACAATGCATCAAACAATTACTGGAGAAAACTTAACTTCTGAATCAAGGATAGAATAAAAAACCCTTGAGAAATTCTTCTAGGGTTGTATTTAAGCATTTGTTATTACTGATCACATCTGTCATTTCTCTGCTCAGGACTACCTACATCAGTTCACACATCTCTGCTTGGAATAAAAGGCCCAAGCAAACCATCAAACCCCAACATTTTACATAGCCATCACCTGCACAGAATCCAGTATTATTTAGAAGTGAAAAATAAACCTGTTTGTGCATTAAAGTGTATCTGGAGCCCTGAAATGAAACTGAGTTTGCTACCTGAGGTGCGTGCATAAGTTAATTATGGGCTATGAAAACTGAGAAGAACAGAAAACATTAGAAGACTATTTAATGACATTTATTCCATACCTTCTTCAACAGTAACTTCAATCTCTGGGACCTGTGAATTGCCTGCAGGACTTCGTGACCTTTTTGAACTCTTTGGACTCATTGCTGGAAGTCAATATAATACAAGATGTAATGCACAAACCCTCTGTAATGTATATCCTGCACAGCTAATGAAAAACACAGTTGTATTCTGAAAATTCCAACAGACTGAAGAATCACTGGCGTCTGTACTAAGTACAGCCTGCATTGTCAATCTGAACAATACGGAGACACTCATGGCCTTAAAAAGTAGGTTTAGTACTATTGAAAAAGGCAGGTATCACACCTAAATCCTCACTCCACTAATTCGGAACAGAAGACTTTATTGTTTCTAAGTGTGAGGGACATCTCTGGCACTTTTTACTATCTAAATAACAAAATTATTAACTTCTGACTCTTTTATAGGCAAGGTTAAAAGACTTTTTTTTATTCTTTTCTTACAAAACTTCGTTGTTATTGACTTCAGTTCACAGCTATAAGTTAAATATGGTTTAGGTCATTAATTGCAATTACTAAAAGTTCTCAAAATTGGGTAAATTCTGTTTTCTGTATTGGAACAGTCTTAAGCAAAAAAAAGTAGGCAAATTTATGCTTTGAGTAACTTTTGCAAATAAAAGCAGATTTAGAGGCCACTATGCTAGATCATCTTAAATAACGCCTTTTGTTTGCAACACCCATATTTTTCAACCAGAAAGACCTCTCAGTCTGCTAAGGAAGCAGAAAGTAAGTATTTATGTAGTGACGGAAGCAAATAATACTTAATTGTTTACCTTTAGTGTTTATTTTACTAGCCAGTCCCGGAGGCAAATAGGAAGTGACAAGCTCAGGCCTAAAAGTTGAACAAACACAACCCAATCAATTACACATGCAAGAAAAATAATACAGCAAAATGTTACAGATTTCCTGGAATTCATTTGAGTTCAAATTTATAGAACATCAGCTCTCTATAATAAAACTCTGCTAGAAGCACGTGTCACTCTCCATCTACTATAACCACATTTTCTGCTCTGTAATTTTCTTCTGGGTTTATTTCAAAAAAAGAAAAGAAAGGAGGAAAAGAAAAGAAAGAAAAAAGGAAGGGAAAAAAAAAGAAAAAAGAAGGAAAAGAAAAAGAAAAGAAAAAAAGAAGAAAAAGAAAAAGAAGGAAGGAAAAAAGCTTCCAGGTACAAGGCCATTTTTTCCCCTAGATCCTTGGATGCATGAAACATGCAATTTACACATCTATATAATTTTAATAAGGAAGGTATATCCTTCTATGAGATAAAACATACATGCAAAATGTTATTTCTGTTTCATGGAAACAGAATTTAGAGAATTTAGGTAGCATTTAAAGCCTAAAGATGCTGGGAAGAAAATCAAATAACTTCAAAATCAGGAGTAAAAATAACTGAATTACAAACATACTTTTTAACAACAAATTTGATTTTGCCACTCCCACGGACAATTCTTTCAAGGCGTGGAATTCCAAACCATGTGGGACTCCGGAAGGGGATTCCTTCTGGCAAGCCTTCGACGTACAAGTATTCAGGGTTTGATTCAAATACAGGATAGGGAACTTTCACTGCCTCTGAAAGCCCCAGAGCTTGGGCTGAAAATAAAGATTTAATGATAGTTTACACACTCAAATGGGCGGTATTTTATCTCAAGTGATTTTAAGAAGCTTGGCTTACAGAAGCTCTGCTACTCAGAGATAATAAAAAAGCCAAGAGAAATATTTAAGCAGATTTTCTATTATTTTCTGTAGAATATTTGCAAATGGTGACTTTGTCCATCTTGTTACAGATAACGTGTAAGTCTGCAGTGACAAATATTTTCTTCTGAGAACTCTTTTCATCCAAAAGCTTTTTGTGCACATATCATCTCTGTCATGCAACTGGAAAAAACTATGGCCTAGGATGTTGTTATAAAGTAATTTATGTCAGTTAAGGGAAGAGTAAGTAAAAAGTGAGAGGAGTCAAGATTTCCATATCTGACCTAGCACATTGCTGATATTTAAGTAAGTACAGTAAAATTTTAAACTCTTTTTACAGATGAGTTTTAAAACACAGCGACATTATAAGTCAGTTCATTTAACATGTAACTTACCAAACTTCATATTAAATATCTCTTCTACTTGCTTTCTTAGCTTTGTGATCCTGACGTTCCAGTCTTCTTTGACTGAAAGCCAGAAATGGATGTATGTCAGAGTATTACCCAGTTCTAGATAAAGAGGTACATTTGAATACATTTTTTTCAAGACAAGAACTTGTCAACTATCAACACAATTGCTCCTGAGTAGACAAGGACTTACAACAAGTAATGATTATTAATGGCAGCTTAAACGACAGACGTAATTCTCTCTACAGAATGGAGAATCTGTTTAAATGTAGTTACAAATTTCAAACATTGCCCCAGGTGGGAGAACTTGCTTTTCAGAGCCTCTAGATGGAGGAAGGCATTATTGTGCCTCTTACAAAGTTGGAATTAATTAATTATGGTGCATAACACTCGTTAGAACAGAAGATGAGGATGTAAAGAGTGCTTTGCTAACCATTTTGATTAGCATAAAAAAAAAAAATCACCTTCAATCTTGTTCTCTATTATAAACAAAAGTCAACCACAGGAGTGCTAGCCAGAGCAGACAATTTCTGACCCAGGTAGAGAAGAAAGCAAAGGACACACGCAGCAATAAAAAGCACTGCTTTTCTGACAAACCGCATTATTTGTTACTTTTTGTCATAACCCACAAAACCAATTCACTGCTACTCAGCCCACAACATTCAGAGTTGTGAAAAGCATGCAGGAAGGAAACTATGAAATTTTTTGTTTTCAAGTAATATTTTTGACTAACAAATTACCTGACCTTTTTATTTCTAGCTCCTTATACTATCAAGGCAACATGCATTTACATTTTTTGCAATCTGGCCTACTTATTTGATAGATTTCACAGGTATTTAACACCTGCACGCGTGTTTATACTTACACACAGGTTGTAGTCTCTCACTGGCAAAGGAATTAGTCTGAATAATTTACTTAAAAAAATGAAAACGTTGCTTGCAGACTATCTCTTGAGGGCACTGGATTATTACTTTGCAAGAGAATGACATTTTGCTTAAAAAAAGGTCTAATATTCTTTAGTAAGATAAAGTTTGCTTTAGCAACATAAAGTACTGCATTTGCAGGAACAAGATGCTCAGCTTTTGCCTGGGAAAATGGTTTTTACTGGGCTCTAAGCCCACGAGAACATTTGCTGCGTTTAGTTGTCTGACATTGATCCCTGGACCCTGGTAAGCTTTGTGGGCACTGACAATACCAGACTCACCTGTCAGTTAGTGAAAAACATAACTAGTACAAAAAAGAAATGCTATTCTGAAGACTTGAACAGTCTGAGTTTTAAGAATCATGGCCACTGCACGTCAGTTCTTTCAGAGGATTTTATTAGCTGTTTTTTTTACTGCTATCGTTGGCACCTACGTTATTACTTTATTGTCAGTTATAGTGTCGACTTTGACAACAATCAGGGGTTTTGCAACAAGACAAATCAATCTGCTCCAGATTTATAAGAGTCTCTTCTACTGAGCTACCCTCTTGCTGAATATGAGCCTTTTCTTAAAATCCAAACAAAATCCACAATACGTTGTGATGACGCAAAATGACTACTGTTCACATGATTATTAAATCATACTCTTTCCTTTTTTTTCCCCCCCCTGCAGAGAGCTCAATACAATTATTTCCTGAAGCTGCAGTTTTTTTATCCAGTGAAATGTGTGTGGGGAGAAAACCTAGCAAGCCCTGGGTCTTGGTTTGTGTTATTACTACTGCAGATTCATACTCTGGATTGTAGACTTCTGTAGCAAGAAAGCATCGACACACCAATTCAGAGCATTCAATTGTCTCAGGAAATAAAAGCCAATCTGGATTCTCTTCCTGTGTAAAGGCATTTCATGCTTATGAGATGTCATTACAATTCCTTACCAACAGAGGCCTGAAAAAAGCCCAACAAGGTCAGTTGTGAAATGCTATGGGGCAGAGCTTTGCAAAGCTCCAGAGCTTTGATTCAGACCAGGACAGTAACTCCAGTTCTCCCAGGCTGTGAAGGTGATCCATTCTGCTATTCAAAGGCAGCTGGACTGCACCACAGCCCAGAAAACCATCCATGCTCATAATGATCAATTTATTCACGAAGACCATGTCAGCACACTCATTGCGGAAGGGTTACTTCTTGAAAAAAGTTGCATTGATCCAAATTTGTGCCCCCACCAATCCTTTCTATTCCCCCTTGGAGACAGCACCTGTCTTACCTGGGGTATTCGACCTGGGTTGAATAACTTCAGTTGAAGTGAGAGTTAGCAGCTCCGGCCTGCAACCAGAAATCAAATAATCTGCCCATTCTTGATATAAATTAAATACTGCTACTTATTATGACATCAGTTGAAAAGTTTGGATTTTTCTATTATGTATTTCACACTTGTGAAAATGCTACAAAGGTATTTTGGAAGACTTGTCTGGATTACAAACACCGCTTTATAATGCAGAATACTTAATCTGCCTATTTGGTAACTAGAGACCGATTGCTTCGTAACTTAATGAAAACAAGTACTTGATTACACAAAGGGTATTTGTTTGGCCTCTTTCTTATTAAAAAAAAAAAAAAAAACAGGTTTAAGCATTAAAACAAACACTTACCGTTTGATCACAAATTTTATTCTGTTGCTCACTTGAATTATTTTTTCAAGGCGAGGGATTCCATACCAGGAGGGACTCCTAAAGGGGATGTTCTCTGGCAGCCCTTCAACACAGAGGTCAGTAGGATGGGCCTCAAATTTCTGGTATGGAACAGCTTTAGGCTCAGTGCTCCCCAGGGCCTCAGCTGTTAGAACAAAAGACATCCAGTAACTGGACAGTTTGGCCATTGACCTTTATTAAAAGCTAGCTGAGCTACCAAATCTTCAGGCTGTTGCAATCGTGAACTTAGAACCTGGGGCAATGCAGGATAGCTAAACCAACAGAGTCCAAGTCTCAGCGCATCAAGAATAGAAAAATTTACCATGTTATATCATGTTGATATAGGCAGTCACAATGCTCGACTAAAGACTATGGGGTTCTTCACCACGGCACAATACAGCAGTTTTATCCGAAGTTTTTAATCTATTATAGAGCATCATGAAACATTTTATTCTAGCTCTTATGAAGTTGACTATTTTTTTTATATTGGAGAGAACATAAAAATTCACCCAGAAATGTTCTAATACTAATTCTAATGGTACTGCAATGGATATAAATAAGTAAATGGTTGTTTTATTCACCATCAAAGGAAAAAGAATCCAAACAGGGAGGAACTGAGAGCAAGTAGAAGAGCTGTACATATAAGATTTATAAATTTTTTTAAACTACGAATTTCTCTTGTTGTATAAACAGTAGAGTAATACATTTTTCACTCAACTGCCAGGATTTTAAATATTTGAAAATACTCAAAGGTCTCATTCATGTAGACGTTCAAAGGAAATAATGAAAGCAGCCTTTAAGAAATACAGAGCCATAAAAGAAAAGAAAATAATACCGTACTCACCAAACTTCCGACAGAAGAGTTGATCTACCATCTTTCTCAGTTTGGTGATTCTGGCATACCACTCCTCCTTCACTGCATTGGGGAGTGACACAGAACAAAGACAACGTTCCCTAATTACTTTGATTATATTTGCAGTCATTCAGTTTACAGCAGACATAACCACCCTGCATTTTCAGATAACCCAGGAAATACTATGCAGAAGTAGTATGGATTCAACTTGGAACTAGGAAAATTAATTATAAAAAAATGAGATAATATTAAAACTGTACAAAAATCCATTTCTTTCTACAAAACACATGCAGTGTATTGGCATGAAGAACTGCAATGCTTTCATCATCTGCATCCACTCTGTAGATCCCATTTGGAGACAGGATTAGTTTTTTGCTAGTTTCATTTTCTAAAAAAATTATCTTGATATTCAGTGCAGAATTTGGTGTGCATATGGGATAAGAACTTGCTTTCGAGGAATTTTCACTAAGCACTGACAACCCCAGAGGAAGCTTTTACAGTAGGTGCACACATCAGTTTGCTCCTTACTGTATATTCATGTTGAACTTCCAGCATCCATTTCTCCCCACTGTTTGTGGACAATACTTTTTGAATGGCGGTTAACAGCTACATCAGATGACTCTAGGGATTTTGTTGTCATTCTTGAGATGACAAGCAGCTTAGTTCCAACTCTCTAAAATGTTTCCTTGACACTACTTAAGACACAAGTTAAATCATAACTTTGATACAGAACCCAACGTGTAGCAGCTACGTAGATTAGCACATCCTGGTGAACAAAACAAGTTTAAATACTGTTCTTCTATCTTTTCACCACTTGAGTAGCTTTGCTTATTGGCTGGTACACATGCATCTTTGATAGAGTTCATGAGACAAAGTTTTGCACCCACAGAGTCTCATAAGTTTGAGTTCTGCTCCTCCAGCAGAACAGAGCATGATGATGATGTTACTGCTGTTGTATTTGGTAGCAGGAATGAGAACAGCTTTTTTTTTTTTCTGTTTTGTCACGTATGCTCATCATTTGGGATTGTGACCGGTACCCCCTGCTCCCAAGCCCTAGCAATATGGTTAGCACAACTAATGCCATTTTGTAAGGCAAGCAGCCATTCTCCGTGACCAAGTGGGTCACGTACTCATTGCCTTTCCCTTCATTCTCAGACCCTGAAGGTCCTGCGAACCAAGCAGACAAACCAAACACATTCCTTCTTCCCCTCTTTACTGGCCTCAAGGCTCCTGGGCGCCAGACCGATTACTCCCTTCCTCACCGGCCTTGAAGGTCCCAGGCACCCAACCAGTCTGGTGATGGTGATGTCCCCAGCATGGAACAGGGAAGCGTAACAACACATGGAGCACTGTCCATAAAATCAAGCAGTTACAAGTCCTACAGATGGAACTTGGACCGGAGCTGCTGCTGGACAGTGACACCCGTGATGCCTCCACCATCCTCTGCTTCCTCTGAGGGTTGAGTGAGAGACTCCTTTTATATAATTTCTGAGTCTAGATTATGGGTGTTATTGTTGTGTGATTGCACTGTTGATACAGAAAGACATGTATTGAGATCTGACCTGATCTGCAGAGGGTCTAGATGATTAGAAACCATAGGTTAAGATGTATTCTTAATTCTGTGTTATGCTACTTATAAACTGTGCTACATTGATTCTGCTTGTAGAAATCCTGTGCTATTCCAATAATAAATTCTATGCTATATTAATTATAATATCCTGTTTAAAAACCAAAGCTTTAATTGTAACTATGATTTAGTGCCATCATTGTTTTGCTAAGGATCCCTAAAAGATTCTGTCTGTCCCGCTCAGAGTCGGGTGACAGGGATCAAAAAGCACATATCATAAAATCACTTTTTTCTTCTGAATGTGTCATTGTGACCAATGAGTGGTCATCAAGTCTTGAACAAGACACCAGACAGCTGCCACGCTGTGGGTTTAGTCAGCATGCACAAGCAACAACTTCTGCTCCATAACTGCACCACACTAGGTTGGGCTTTCTTCATCAGCACCTGCTGACACTTCTGCAGCCACTTTCTGAGCCAAACTATCACTGCCTGACTGGTTTGTCTCACAGCCAATATCTCTTGGCTTCTCAGGGCTTCAGGCCTGAGGCCATTTCATAAAACCTTCCTGGCCAGCCCATTTCCCACAGGAATGCAAATGCAAATCATCTTTCTTCTGACAGTCAAAATACAACTTCTGTACTCATCCCATTCCTCTCCTGCTGGGGACACAAGCCAGCAGGGTCTATGGACAGAGCAGGACATCGGACATGGAGCCGGTAAGGAGCTGTGAGCAGGGGCTGATGCTACAAAGCTCACTCTCCTGAGATGGCAGCAGACACGCAGAGCAGCAGAGGAGATGACGAGCTACTAGGAAAGAGGGAGTCCAAACAGGGAGAAAAGAAAACCGAGGGCAAGGAGGCTCAGACAGCTGCTGTCTTCTGAGTTGTGTTCCCCAAGATGTTATCAACAGATTTCACAGACGTTCTCTTCGCTCAGACATAAGGCAGGGGTCAGACATGGATATGCCATCATTACAAGTTAGTGAAGACAAGCAACATAAAGTGACTGCTCGTAACACTGTGCCATAAAAATGGGTTACCACTAGTTTTCTTAGCCACAGGGGTTTTACAGGATAAGTAGCGTACCTGCTTTGTCTTCATAATCAGTATAACCATATTAAATACAACAAAAGCAACAGAGAAAAGAGCTAATTTAAAAGCTGACATAAGAGTACAGTTAAGTTCATGACTTGGTCATTAGCCTACTGACTACTTTTGTAGTCAAATTCAGTGCTCAAAGGACCAGTAGGTTAGTAAGACTCAAGGCACTAGGTTAAACTTTTCCTGCAGTGTAAGTTAATTCCTACACACACGTTAAAGTGACATCCTTATGACATAATTTCTTTGCTTAATTTAGATCCTTAATGTTCACTTTAAGTACAGTCTTTGATACACTTTTTACAACAGAAGACTATGAGTATATAATACAACATAATGGTGCTGCAGTAGTGTGTATGCTGCAGTGCATACTCCCATTTGTATGCTTGAGTCCTTGTCTGAACTGAGAATTTTTCTGGTTTTACTAAAAATTCACCGTTCAACCAGGCTGAGGTTGCCAGTTAGCATTTTGGGGTTGGGAGCAATTTGTTTGCTACCATTGGTTCAGGCATACAAGCTTTCAACACTTAGCTTAACCAGACAATTAAAAATCGCCCTGAAGCCCAAGAGACAGTAGAACACAATTGAAAACAAGTCCAGGAAAGTAATTTACCAATTAGTGCTCATGCAAAGGCACAATTCTTTTGACACTTGATTTTTTTTTTTTTTCCATACTAAACTTTTTTATCCCAACTTGAAGGGAAACGAGTTCATGGGTGCAATTGTAAAAAAGGCCATTCTTGCAGTCTTGTTTTTACATGGTCATTTTTGTTACCTTCGGGTGGGTGCTCAATGGAGACAAAACATGTAAGAACATGCATCTGCTGAAAAGTATCTCTGATGGCAGGAGTGGTTAGAATGCATTGTCTTTGCACTACTACTATATGCAAATGGACGTACTGTGTAAAAGCAGTATGTTCATTACTGCATTTCAGTTAACCTGATCTTGGCAAATACCATATATAAGCAATTATGCCATGACATAGACAGTTCTCTACCTAGTAGACTCTATCGCCTATGGAAACTACTGCTTTTTCTCTATATCTCATCAGACTAACACTTAGCTCATTGTTTTTCCTTCTGGCCAGCTCATTCAAATCAGTAGATAGAGCAGTAGTAACACTGGCTTGGATACCCAGTGGAAATTTGCTGTCACTTTGTAGCTAAAGAAAATTCAAAACGAGGAATTATTTGCAATGTGTTACTAGTAAAAGCAAACGGTAGCCACCGCTAAGGCTGTCAAATAGGAAATCATACTGTACTTGTACAACTCACGTGTTAAAAGACCTACCTCCTGCAACTGGTTTGTCCAATGGCACATCTTCTCGTGTCGAATTCAAAAGCTCATGCCTAAAAGATTTAAGATACATGCTTCAACAGTAATATAAACAGTGATATAAACCAGAAGTTACAGCCTACAGTTACAGCCTCAAGTCACCACTGTAGGATCAGAGAAAAAAACCCCAACCCAACAATGGACATCACGATCCCAAACATTAAATTCCAATTAACACTAAAGTATATAAAGGCTGGTTGGAACCCTACTGACAAAAACATTTTTCACACCTGATACCCATACCCACCTGAGCCATAACATTTCATGGTAACATACAGATTACGTCTGAGGTCTAAGACGCACTTTAACAGAAACAAAGATCCAAATCAAAAATTTCACCTTTAAAAATAAAAACCTCAAAGCAGACATTTCTGGTTGCCAAACACATCTAGTTTTATCTGTATTGGAACAACAAAAAATTTTAAAATTCTGACATTTCTCACAGAGCTAAACTGGTTTTTGAGCTGGTCTGGTTACCATGCATTGCAACTGATGGGCAGCATGAATTAATTATTGTTAACAACTAAAACAAATTTGACAAGAGCAGGTGCCAGCATTGCAAAAATATTAAAATCTATGCATAGTGTCTGATTTTAAGTGAGACAGAAGGTAGATCTACACTTCTTTCTCTTTTCTGGTTATCTGCAAGTGTTAGGATGACAAAAACTGAACATATACCTCACAAATTTGAGAAACTTGCACCCGTGCTAAAGGCAGCATGCGCAGAAGCACAGGCTGTCACTACCACCAATTCTGAGCCTGCCACTGCCATCAGCGGATTCCTACCCACTTCCAAACCTCTTGGATTAGGCCCTACACCACTGAATGGTAGTAAAACGTCAGCTGTTACTCACAAAAGCTTCATTTAAACTGTAAATGCCCATCTGTGGTGTGAAACATCACATCTGTCTGAAGCAAAGGACCAAACTATAAACCAAAGCTGCGTTACCAGCCTGCCACAGTCGTACCCATGGTATGGGATCTCACAGTGCTCTGCAGCTCTGAGATCCAGCACTCGACATCCACAGATGCCAATATTTCTCCCCGCATATCCTGAATCCAGGTTTGGTCCAGGCTCCCTTCCAATCCCACTTGCAGAAAGTAATGTCAGGGTTTTTCTAGGAAAGACACCAAGGCAAGAAAGGAGAAAAAGAGAAAGAAAGGAGCCCAGGACATCTCACAACTCTTATGTCCTCAATTTAAAGGCAGCCGATGCCCTGCCAGGCTTAGCTTCAGCAGGTAACTGAGCCCTCAAGCAGTTTCTATATACATCTAAAGTTCCTCTTCATGTACACTATCTGTTCTACTTCCAGACACATCGAGGCCATGCATCCAACTAAATCACAGGAACCAGTAGCTATTTTGGCCTCAAGCCTGCCCTGGGAGATGCTATATATAGATATGGCCATAGACACCTTGATACAGCATTCCAGCAAGGAAAAAACAAAAGCACAAGCTGAAATTTAGCCCAGGATCCTCAGATAGCATAAAATATCCCCACGTCAATGGTTTTCAACATGTATTATAGCTGTAGAGATTAAAATAATACAAAGAGATCTGCACATGACAAGAAGTCCACAATATTTATGATATCTGTCCAGATGTCAGCCACCACCGTGGTGCTCTGGTGATCTGATAAGCTGAATTTATCAGAGTGAACATCAACTAAAAATTACTCACCAGTACTGCAAAAGAATATGTCAGTAGAAACCGGTTTGGAAGTTTTTGAAGATAAAATGAAGCAGATCGGAGCCAGCAGAAAACAATGAATAATATAGGGACAAAAATACAAAATTCCTTACTTTTTAATCACAAACCGGATCCGCTCCTTTGCTAGAAGTATCCTCTCAAGACGGGGAATGCCGTAGGTGGATGGCCGCCTGAAGGGAATTCCTTCTGGCAGCCCTTCCACATACAAGTCTTCCACATGAGACTGGAAGAGTGGGTATGGGATAGACACTGGACCTTTCGCTTTTATAGCTTGAGCTTTTAAGAGAAAACGACAATAAAAACATCACACTAACTTGTGGCTCTACTCAAATTACCTGTTTGATATCACTCTGAAAAACATTAAAATTAGCAGACAGGCAACAACCCCCTCAGCACATTTAAACATGCAAACCACAATGCGTTCATATTTGTAGGGGTTTGGTTTTGTTTTATAGCAAAATTACTCTAATTCACAGTAAACAAGCTGCAGACCTGCATATATATATATATATGCAGATTCTCCTCTTTTCCCTTTCCTCTGTAAACATTTAATAACAGAGACTGCACCTGTTCCAGTGAAGTTTCAGAGTATTTTGGTTTTGTTTAATAGCACATTTTGAAAGATGAAATTATCAAGATTTAATTATAAACCAAGCGTGTTTCAGTTCATTAGCTCTGATTATTTTTATTTGTTACTACTATTGGGTTGCAAGAGCCATTAATGCCTTGGAGGAGGGGTACACATCCCTTCTTTTGAATGAATCCCTAAAGCTTCAGTGTATTTTAGAAATCCAAGGAATCACTAATGAAATAAACAGTACACTTCTAATGAAATCTTTGAAGCAAATGAAAAGCAAATAACAGATTTACCCACAGCTGGAAAATAACCTCAGTGTATTTTTTTTAAATTATGAGGACTGTAATCATATCAATGCACCTATCAGGCTGGCAAATACTGGAGAATGGTGAGATGGTTTGCAAATACCAAGAGGGCTAATTGCTTTATACTCACAAGGGTACGTTAATTTTATAGGCCATGCAACAAGAATTCTCTATTACCATCTGACTGGCCTGCATACGGTTTGTTACATTCTGTTCTGCTACGGAGATTAGATGCAAAAAACTATTTGAGGAGAGAAAGGCCAAGGAAGGCCAAATTAGAGTACAGTGATGTTGCGGCAGGGTTTCTGAAAGCAAAACTACTCGGGGCACCTCTTCAAGCAACTTTTCATAACATGAAAGCAGCCAGTGGTTCAGACATCTGTGTATATAAAATGGTCATGTTAACTCTGAAATTCTTAAAAGCAATAAAACAATTTAGGTTTTAAAGGCATTTGGGTAGCAGACTCTTTCAACTGCTTGGAAACAGAACAGTTCTAGGTATGTTTATCACAAAACAGGGAACCTTTGGACGTGCTGTGTTTATCTTAGTCGTATATTCTGATGAGAACCGAGTACCAAAATTTTAGAAAACTGTGAGAAGAACTGTGTTTCAACTAGATTTGGTTTCAGCTGCCAGATATAAGATGGCCAAAACTGGAGACAGAGAATAGATACATACAGAGAGGGACATGAACCTGAAGATGAGTCCTGGCAAATAGACTAAAGAAACCTTATTCAAACCTGTGCCAAAGGAGCTGTGGAACAATCCCCAAACGAGCTGTTATGTATCACACCAGTCCTTCATTAAAGTACATTTTTATTACAGTCATATGCCTCTTTCAAGAATTAAAAAAAATTATTCTCAGCCCTGGAGGCTGTTGTGGCAAGTGGTGAAAAGTAACAAATCCAGCAGACGAGGCTCAGGCGGAAAGAAGCGCTTGTGAACCACAGTTAGCCACAGGAAAAAAGATCAAGAACATCATTGAAATCTAGATCAGTGCACAGCATCGAGTAAGAACAGCTTCAGAGTAACAAAAATCTGGTGTTTAAATAAGTAATTAACAACAGGTAAGTCTTTACAAGTGAGAGTCTTTATTTCTCTTAAATCAGCGAACAGTTTAGCAAATACTCTTCAGACAGCCTAAGAACATGATCAGCATCACAGTTTGCAGTGAGGCTTCTTAGATTTGGAACCTTACATGTTTTTGCACAGAAGTCCTATAGCATACAGGTTTCATTTTTATAAATGAGTGTGTATTTGCAAGCCACTGTCTTGTATTTACACTATAAAAAGTAATCCCATTTAGTTTATGTCAAAACACAAAAATAAATATAATTTCAGACACGTCAGTTGTAATGCATGACAACGCCTGACATTGCTAAAACACTTCAGAGCTCCAGGAGCCAACAAATCTGAGAAGCATTCTGGGAATTCTGACCTCCATAACTCATTTCAGTAAATGGGAAATTGCATTGCATGCCGATACAAATAGAAAGAATTGGAACCTGATATGGAATTGGTTTGTGAATCAATGAAATGCTGTCATACACAGGGAAAAGGTGGGTAATTTAATATCATCTAGCCTGGCATGGAAAGTCAGGAATAGCTCTGTATTCGACAGACTCCACAGGAGATTTTTAGGCTGGCTATGCACAAACACCAAAACCAAAGTTAAAGCGATTCACCAAGAATGATGTTCTTCTCTAGACCAATTAAAATCCAATGAATCAGATTCTGAACTGTTTTTATTTGGTGTGAGTTGCTTTCAGTGGGCTGTTTAAATGTCAGATGACAGTTACACCCAAAACATGTAGTAACTCCAACATCACAAGGTCCATTCTGACAGCACTTCCACTTTTCACGGTAGAAGAGCACCACCATTTATTTTGAAATTTTTGCTGATGGCCACAAAATATGTGTAGGTGCAACATCTGGAGACAAATTCCAAAGTCTAACATATGTGTTTTTCTTTTTCTCTCCAAGAACCATTAACAAATAATTGCTGCCTTACTGCAAATCAATCATAATCAGAAAGGGACAATCAATCAGTGGTAACCTCTCCCCAGAGCCATTTTAAAAGATTATTTCACATAAGGACTCAGTGTAATTACAGAAAAAAAGGCAAGCTCTCTCAAACGTGGGTGGCCCCAGATATGAGCACACTGGAGCTCCAGGAAACTGAGCACAACTGAAAAATAAAATCAAGTTTTGCACTTAGGTGCCAAACACAGGCACCTGATTTTGAAATTACTCTTCATCAAAAAAGCTACTTTCCCCAGGTTTAGGTTTTCTAGTAATATTTAACCCTTTGGTGCTGTCAGTACTGGTGTGCTTCTGAGCCAAGAAGATGACACATGCCAAAGAACTGTGATTTACAGTGTCACAGAAGGACTAGAGGCAATTGTTTGGGAAGGAGTGTAACACGTACCGTATTTTTTTTCAAACAGCTCTTCAACTTGCTTTCTCAACTCTGTAATTCGTGCATTCCATTTCTCTGCAAAGAAAAGAGGAGGACATGTCAGAGTATGAATGAAATTGAGAATCTCTTGTCAAATCCACGTTACCACTAATTGAAATATGCAGTGTGCTTTTACTGCTCACTTGCATACAGGTGCTTGTGGGGTATGATACAGGCAATACCATAACACACATGGATATGTTCAGAAAGAAAAAGGATAGAATGAAATGTTTTAAGATTACCTCTAAAACTTGTGCAGATGTTAAATCAAATTTTAAAAAGTAAAAGGACATAAACCAGGCTAAACTAACTCTAAAGATGGTTTCTCTCTGACAGTTCGGTCAGCAGCTCTTGCTACCATCAGGGGTAAGGTCAGTTCGCAGCCGCTGTTGATAGATCTCTAAAATCCAGGGGCTGAAAAGCTTAATTAGTGAAGCTTGATAACGCTTACAGTGAGTACATGAAGTTGTTTTAATGCAAATCTGTACAGCTATCTGGGTCAGAAGGCATCATGCCATCCTCTACCTTAATCCAGTATTTCTCCAAGTCCTGATGTTGCAAAACATCCTCATAAATCCTATTTCTGAAAGAAGATGCAGGCTGCAAGAGAGAAGTTATCCAAATCCAATCGTGTGTTCCATGGAGAGCTGGATTAAATGGCAGAATTTTAAGATCTAATTTTCTGCCTGTGACAGAGGCACACATTTTCACAGCTTTTTGTACTATCTCAGTGCTCTTAGGAAAATGCCCCAACTCTTTTGTAGATGGTACCAGATGCTGGCTGGCCTTTATGAATGAGTTAAGCAAGTGTACTTACAGCTTATTTCTTACACTAAAGACTTGAATCTAGTAACTTCAGAGGTCAGAAAATTAGGCCATTCAAGCTATTACACTGCCAGTTGTCAAAAAATTCTTGTATCAGACAAGAGAGAGGATTGAATTTTGAGTCCGGACCAAAAGGGTTTAAAATATTCATTCTCAGACCAACATATACAACTTTGGTGGCCATTTTTAAGCTTATAGTTTTTAAATGTAATTTCATGGTTATCAAGAGAACAGCATGCTTCAGATGTGGACAGGAACAAGGCCTTGTTTAGAGGGGAAAGGGTGTTTTGGCACACTACCTCTCATCCAGACATAAACTCTTTATTCTAGTGACCTGGCATATCACCTACATCAATTAACCTGTTTATATTTTGAAATAACATCCTTGTGGAGAAAGCTATATAATTGCTTCAGCCACCCTTTTTACTGCTACCCTGTAGTACATAGCTTCTTAGCTGATAAACACGTCTTGAGCTCAACGTTTTCTACTCCTGTGTCACTTCAACCTTTCCCTCTGTAACTTTAGATGTTCAGCCAGATGAAGCTCTTTGATTCCAGCACAACCACTGACTGCGTTTTTTGTTGACCTACAGAACAATGGACTAACAGCAGCTTTACCAGCAAGAGTTGGGAAAACACAAGTCAGGATTTACTGCCTTAAAGGGGAAACTGCTTTATTCAGAGCTGGTAAACGCATATGGACAGTCTGGGACAAGGGTTTTGAAAGGCACCCGTGTGACTCCAGACTGTAACCCAGGGGAAGGTGTCATGGAGTTGAGATCCCTTCATTTCATCAATCGCTGAGGCAGACTTGGGAAACAACCCCCTCTAAGACTCAGGCTCATTTTCATCAGAGGGAGAAGAGTCAGAAAGAATGCCATGCCGTATTACAAAACAACAATATAAAAGCATACAAGCAATACTGTTTTGAAAATTGGTTATTGCTGCAATTTTAGGAGAAGGCTGCTCCCACCCAGCCTGGTCTCCCTCTGCTTCTTAGCATGCTCACAAGAGTGTTCCTACAGAGGCCATGAAGTTGTCAAGGGTTCATGTTTCTCAGTTACCAACACAATCACTGGCTAAATATTCCACATAGATATTTCCAAGCAACTACTTTCATGCCCCTCTGCCTCCAATGCAGGGATTAATAGTCAAATACACCACAAAACATGCATGTTTATTTGGAATGGTGGATACACAAAGAATAGGCAATTGAAAAAAAAAAAAATCATAAACTGGATCACATTTTGGTCAGCACACTGTTTTCCAGCTACTTTTGTATTTTATGAGTAAATTGCCAAGTTAGGCTACAGAGACAAAATTCAGAGGGGTTATCAGGTAACTGGCATTATTTTTAATCAGACTGTCAGCACTATTAAGTCCTTGAATTCAGACCAGTTACTGCAAAAACATTTTGTCCTGCAGTTCGTGCTTGTGTAGCAAAGTTGAACATGTACCACAGAGCTAAGCTCGTATTCTGATTTGGTGTGGTGTATCTGCTCTGCAAAGCAGTTTAGTTTTCCTGTAGGCAACAAGGTAAGCGGTGGCTTCCTTCTATTCCTATACATACACCTAACGATACACGGGAAACACCATCCCAATTAAATAAAAATCCCGAAAACCTCCCCAGCCTGCCCACAGTCTCTTCAATTCACCCCATTCTCTGCTCCAGATAACAACCACTACAGTAGGGGCAACCTGCACAGCACACACGAAACGATGCTCAGGTACGAAGCACATTCCTACTCCCATCAACATGCCATGCAGTACTCTGCAGGGAAATAATATGGAAAACACACAGCAAGCCTAAGCATGCTGCAGGCTGGCAAACCCTGTGTTCAACAGCGTGTCAAAATGGGGAAAAAACCTATACACGCTTTCCATCACTGTCATAGCGAGACAACAGCGAAGGGGACTTTTTTCCTACTAAAATGGTATGACACAACTGTGGGAAGCGATTTATACTGATGATGTCAGTTCCTTTCAGCAAAGTTATTTTTAACCTTAAATAGTTGTGTCCTGGTTTCGGCTGGGATAGAGCTAATTTTCTTCATAGTAGCTAGCATAGTGCTGTGTTTTGGATTTAGTACCAGAAGAATGTTGATAACACACTGATGTTTTCAGCTGTTGCCAAGTAGTGCTCAGACCACTCAAGGACTTTTTGAGCTTCTCCTGCTTGCCCAGGTGCATAACAAGCTGGGAGTACAGCACAGCTAGCACAGCTAACCCAAACTGTCCAACGAGCTATTCCATACCATATAACGTCATGCTCGGGGGGGGTTAGTTAGTCCGGGCGGGCGGTCGGTCGCGGGGAGACTGCTCGCGGCTCGGGGAGGCTGCGCACAGCTCGGGGACTGCTCGCGGCTTGGGACGGGCTGGGCGTCGGTCGGCAGGTGGTGAGCAGTTGCGTTGTGCCTCATTCGTTTTGTGTATTCTGTATGTTCTGTTATCATTCTCATTATTACTATTATTATTTTCTCTTATTAAACTGTCTTTTTTACCTCAGCCCTCGGCTCTAACCTTTTATTTTCTTTCCGATTCTCTCCCCCATCCCACTGGGGGAGGGGGGGGAGTGAGCGAGCGGCTGCGTGGTGCTGAGTTGCCAGCCGGGTTAAACCACGACAGTCCTTTTTGGCGCCCAACGTGGGGCTCGAAGGGCTTGAGATAACGACAGACTATCCAGAGAATATTAAGGAATTTGTATCTGTTAAACAGTTGTGGATCACGATTTGATTCATTTGTTCTTGATCTTAGTTTATCCAATCTGCACCATGCTCCCTCCTTTGCTGTACTTGTTGAAAGTTGGTGCTGGTTTTTGCAGTTTGTTATGCTCTGCGGTGACTAAACATGTTTTGCTTGGGAAACTTGTTATTAAAACAATGACCTTGAGCCTTATCTGGTATTTGGGTTTCATGTCGAAGTCTGTACTGCACTTTGGGTACCACCTTGCGGGGAAAATTAGCAATTATACATCGGATTCTGAAAAGTTTGTTCTGGAGGAAATACAGAATGGCACTTTCTCTGCCTTCTTTGATGATGTTTCCTCCTTCATTACAATAACTTTTCAGTATCTTGAACATCCTTGGATAGTTAAGATATATCTATTGATATCTATTTGGAATATTTTTTCAGTTTTGTCCAAAGTTAGTAAGCAACTTAATAATACCATCCAGATGTCTGCCCCAGGGCTGGATAGTTATGAGTGGCGGGGTATCTGGGGTAGTATGGGTAAATGCCTAGAACGATGGGCACCTCCAATGTTTTGGAAATTCACTCCTGAACAAGTGCAGAATCCTGAAAAACTGGTAGAATATTTGGAAAAGGTGTGCTGTCACCCTGGCAATTCTAAGCAAACACAAATCACTGCAATGTGCTGGGGCCTGGCCCATGCTTACCGAACCCTGTTCAACACTCTTCAATACATCCAAAGGGAAGAGAAAGTCTCTGGATCTGATGACAAGGCC